AGAGAGAGAGAGAGATTAGAGAAACAACAACTCGGAACAACCGAAATTAGACGGAGAACCTGTAGCCTAGCGATTGACCTGTATCTTCGTCTGTCTTCTCGTTCACTAACTCAGGTATGGTTTTCGAATCGGCGGGCGAAGTGGCGGCGCGAAGAGAAATTGCGCACGCAACGGAGGGACAACCCGCAACACCCGCAGCAGTCGCAGCAGCAGCAGCAGCAACAGCAACAGCAGCAACAACAGTCCCAACAGCAGCAGCACGCCGGAGGGGTGAGCCTGGTCACCGCTGGCCATCCGACACCACCACCGGCCTCGGGTATTTTGGCTGGTCAACCACCGCCGCAAGCGCCGCCCTCTCCGCCTAGGATACATCATGGTTTCGCGCCCACCGCCGTTTACCCCGGAATACCCAGCATGCCTGATTCGTACAGGTGAGAATAATTATCGAAATTATCCGAAACGATCGTTCCCTGCAAATTAACCGGGGCTCGAGAAAGTTCCAAGAGTTGAAAACTTGTGTATAACGAGTTGCATTTCTCATCGGATGACGAGACTTGTTATAATTTTGACAATAGTTGGATTGACCGAGCAATCTCGTGTCGAGGAATAATTCTAAGAGATTGGTTGAATTTATTTTCGAAAAGGATTCGAAATTTAAGCAAGAGGTTTAATGAGAAGATATGATGTAATTATAAGCCTCGATACTTCGAAGATACTTCATGAAATTCTGCTTAAAAGCTTCGAGTCGATCCTCGACGAAACGTGAACGAATTTTTTGCGAAAGAGAACCGAATCTTTCACAATAATTTCTTCTCTGTGAATAATTATCGTTGTATATAAAGATCCAATTGGAACGGTTCCAGTCCCATGACGTCCATGCCGAGTTTCACGATGTCCGGCGGCGGCCAGCAGAACCAGCACACGACGAGCAGCATGTCATCGTTGTCGACGGGCGGTGGGATGGGCCCGATGGGTATGAGCGTGGGCATGACGGTGGGCCCTAGCCCGGGCGCGTGTCTTCAGCAACGCGACAACGGTTATTCGTGCGGCGTCGCCCGTCCGCCGAGCTACGAACCCCTTCACCTCGGATACGGGGCACGGCCCACGTGCAGCCCCACTCAGCCGTACCACACCGCGGGCCTGAACCAGTATAATCAGAACACCAGCTCGACCGGTGAGTGTCTACCGCACTCACTGCACTCGCTGCTTGCACTTTAGCCGACGGACTGCTACCACGGATAACACGCTATCCAGCTTCCCGGTAATGGATTATACTCTGCTTCTGCGTCTACCCAAGGCCCTATTTCTTCTTCTTCGTCCCCTTTCCGCTTTCTTCTTCCCCGCTTCTCTTTCACCGAATCGAGTTCTCGGTGGCTTTTCTTTCTTTTCTTTTATCTTGCACTACGGTTTTCCTTTATGGCTTGCCAAGGTTTTTCTTTCTTTTTTTTTTTTCTTCTATCGCTTGTAGATCGTACTTGATCAGTGGCAAATCGAGTGAATTTCGATTTCGATAAAAGTTTGTCGTATGGAGCATGATGCTTTTTTTCGCATAAGATCCTAGATTTTTTTATGGTCTTTTTCGAACACTCGCAAGAAATATTTTTTTACAATGGAACATATTTATTTGAATTTGAAAAAATTTTGCTTCGTGTCGTCACTCAAATCAAACAGTTATGTATTTAAAAACACAGCTTGTCACGTTGAAGTCACGTGTGAAGATTTTTCTTACCGATTATATATGCATTTTTATTACTACATCACTTTTCCATAGAATATGCGTTGAACCTTTTATACATTCGGTATAACTTTCCTTCTAATTTCTTTTTTCTTTTTTCTTTTTAATCAGAAAAGTAATATAGTTCGTGATAAAAGTAGTTCTATCGTAAAGATCTGCAAACTTCAAGGTGACCGTCTTTTTTCTTTTTTTTTTAGATAATACGATATATATTTCTATTCTCAGTATAGAGCATGAGATATATAAGTTTAAAGAGATATGGTAAAAGGTCAATTTAGGTCAGAAAAGGTCGTAAGTTAATAATGAAAATGTAGTCACTTACACGCTACGTAATAATTATTGATTTAGAAACAATTCATATTTTTATATATATATATATATCAAACACACTTACATATACAAGTTATAACAATAACAAAATTAAAAATATTCTTCTTACCATATTTTTTACTCTCTTGTTAAAATGTCGATCGAGTAAATTTCGAAGAAATTCATCTTCCGGATATGATACTTCGTACATAACCTTACTTTTTCCCTTGCGATACTAAAAAGGAGACATCGATCGGATAAATTTCAAATTTACCAAATTTTTACGAACTTACTTACTTACTTTTTTTACGAGTATCTTTCGTTTTCACGTTTCCACGCCAAGAGAGGATAAATTGAATAAACTTGAAATTCAATTTCCAGGTTTGATATCGCCAGGTGTGAGCGTACCGATCGCGGTACCAGGCCAGCCAGCACCAGACATGGCGGCCCAATACTGGTCGCCAAGGCTGCAGTGACCGTGGTGGTCATCGGTGTCGACATCCTCTCCGTAGGCTCGAGCTTCTTTGACTTATACATTAGTCTTAACAAACGGTCAGATACGGTCAGGAACGCAAGGAGAAGACGTTCGAAATCGATGAAAAGAGCAGCCGTTGCAATTCGTTCGATCGGATCGATTCATTTGTCCTCGACGATTATATCGATTGCCTTCGATTATCGATCCAAGGCATCGACCTCGTAAAAATCGTTCGAAAAAAAAAAAGGAATGGAGAATAACGAGGATGTTAGTGGAAGTTGTAAAAATAAAAACGTCACAAATGACGCAAAATTTATCGTATGGGAGAAAAAAAAAAAAATAAGTTTTG